GGAAACAAAGAGGATGAAAAGGAAAAACCAGAGAGAGAAGAAAAAGGAAAAGACAGGGAAAGAGTACTCCTTTCCCTCCTCTCTGCCCTTAACCTTGACCTGCCGAGCAGTGGTTGCCATTGCTGCTTCCAGCCTCGGTCGTCTCATCTCTCTGATAGTTCAAGTCCCCAGAGCAAGGTCTGGGGCACCTTTCTCTGCATCTTAAGGTGAGATCAAGTAGGGAGCCAGCAGCCAGAAAATAACTCGAGAGGAGAACAAAGAAGTACTCTGATGCCTTTAAAATTTGTTTCCTGCACAGGCCGATGAGCAGACAAACGCCGTAAGTGTACACGAGTGGAAAGAGCCACCAAATTACGGAAAACACTCCCTGCGTGTGCTGTGGACTCGTTCCTGGCCTCCTCCCCGATTCCTCCTGCCTTCAAAATTAATTTCATCAGCCGGAAGGAAGATCTCAGAAGTGCGTTCTCTCAAAACAAGTCGTTCTTCATCTGAATAATGGAGACAGACTTTGGCTCGAGAAACAACTATATGGCATGAACGTGGCAGCGGGCTGTGGGCAGGTGAAACGGACGGTGGGATTCTTCTTGGAAACACTGGCTCCAGGGGAAGCAGAAGGGAAGCCCCTTCTGCCGCAGTGGGCCCACCGCCCAGCATAAAGAGCACACAGAAGCCCCCTGCAAATGCACAGAGACCCTTGGGTAGAATCTCCTGGCGGGCAGGCCCTCTTCAGGCATGCTGGTTCCTTACTGCAAACAGTGTCCCCAGGCTTGAGCCACTCTACTGCTGTCACCTCCAATCTTGAACTCCAGCTCCACCCTTGGGTCCTGAGCTAAACCGTTCCCTTAGCTTTTGACCTAGCCATTGGACTTCTAGAAAGTAATCCTTCAGATCGATTTGCCCATTTGCAGAAAGATACGTGCACGGAGCTGCTCATTGCTGCATTGTTCATAACAGGCCAAACCTGGAAGCAACCTAAATGTCCATCGGAAGAGGACTGGCTGAATTAAATATGGCGCACCCAGACTTTCGAATGATAAACAGACCTTCAGTATGTGCTGATGGGAAAAGATCTGGGAGCCATACTGCTGGCTGAAGAATGTTCCGTGCAGACCAGTGTGCGACAGTATTGTCCCAGTCTTCGTTGGATTTCCCCCAAAGCAGACCTTGAGACAAGAATCTGGGTGCATGTCATTATTTGGGAGGTGATCCAGGAAGCACAGTGAGGAAGAGGGAGGCAAGACAGGGCAGGGGGGATGCCGATAAAGGCTGTATCAGTGAGTGGGTTCCTGCTGTAGGCATCTGGGGCTCAGTCCCGTGGGGACCCTCTAAGGGTCTGTGTGGAACGTGCCTCAGGATCATGCCACCAAGGGGCTAGGAAGCTGGGGTATTTATCCACCAACTCCAGTCCTTCATCGGTCGAGGGGCATTCATTCCTGGACACTTACTTCCAGCCAACCCCAAGTTCCAGCAGATATCTCCTTGGCCAGCGATCATCCTGACGCAGAGAGATACAGGAAGAGGTAAACTTTGATAGACACGTCTGCAGGTGCCTCTGGGAGTGGGTGGGGGTGATCCAGGGGAGGTGAGTGGGTACGACAGATAGCATCTGCTGTGGTCCCATCTGTGTATCAAAAAAAATTCTAGGGATGTGGGCCTGAAGGCCTAGGGTATATACTGCGGAGAGGCCCTTTTCACCTTGAACCCTTCTACGGGGTTTGCATTTTAAACAACAGACCCCTATATGCCTTAAATCACTGAGAAAATGGTTAATCATTTTAAAACTGCTCTCTCCACAGCTACTACAGCCCCGACTGAACGTTTCTGCCCTCCTTGAGTCTCTTCCAGGACCAAACAATAACTCCTCGCTTGTCTTATGTGCTGTCCGGCATGAAGCCCAGCGTAATCCACCTTACATGTACGATCGAAGCTGAGCCCTAGGACTACCCTGGGAAGTGGGAAGTCGAGTCCCAACTTTAGAGACGGGGACACAGAGGCTTAAAGAACCTAACTTTAACTTGTTCAAGGTCATACAATAAGAGTGGGGGTCCATACATGGAACCAGAATTTGAACCAAAACCTGCCTGGCTTCTGAGCCTGTGCCTGCAGCCATGATGATGCTTCCATAGCTTTTCCTCCTTCTCTCTGGGGGACACTTTAATTCTTCTTCAGGCCAACCATTTTCCCCTCCCCACATGCTTAACAAGTTACTGACAAAAGACCCCGAATAGCCAAAGCAATCCTGAGAAAGAAAAATGAAGCTGGAGGAATCAGGCTCCCTGACTTCAACTATACTACAAAGCTACAGTCATCAAAAACAGAACTGGCACAAAAACAGAAATATAGATCAATGGAACAGGATAGAAAGCCCAGAAATAAATCCAGACACCTATGGTCAATTAATCAATGACAAAGAAGGCAAGTCAATTGACCTATGGTCAATTAATCAATGACAAAGAAGGCAAGACAATACAATGGAGAAAAGGCAGTCTCTTCAATAAGTAGTGCTGGGAAAGCTGGACAGCTACATTAAAAGAATGAAACTAGAACCTTCTCTAATGCCATACACAAAAATAAACTCAAAATGGATTAAAGACCTAAATGTAAGACCGGATACTATAAAACTCTTAGAGGAAAACATAGGCAGAACAGTCTTCGACATAAACCGCAGCAATATCTTTTTGGATCCACCTCCCAGAGTAATAAAAATAAAAACAAAAATAGGGCTTCCCTGGTGGCGCAGTGGTTGAGAGTCCACTTGCCGATGCAGGGGACTCGGGTTCGTGCCCTGGTCCGGGAAGATCCCACATGCCGCGGAGCGGCTGTGCCCGTGGGCCATGGCCGCTGAGCCCGCGCGTCCGGAGCCTGTGCTCTGCGGCGGGAGAGGCCACAACGGTGAGAGGCCCGCGTACCGCAAAAAAAAAAACAAAAAACAAAAATAAACAAATGGGACCTAATTAAACTTAAAACATTTTGCACAGCAAAGGAAACTGTAAACAAAACAAAAAGACGACCCACAGAATGGGAGAAAATATTTGCGGGTGAAGCAACCAACAAGGGATTAATCTCCAAAATATACAAACAGCTCATGCAGCTCAATATCAAAAAAACAAACAACCCAATAAAAAATGGGCAGAAAACCTAAATAGACATTTCTCCAAAGAAGACATACAGATGGCCAAAAAGCACATGAAAAGCTACTCAACGTCACTAATTATTAGAGAAATGCAAATCAAAACTACAATGAGATATCATTTCACACTGGTCAGAGTGGCCATCATTAAAAAGTCTACAAACAATAAATGCGGAGACGGCGTGGAGAAAAGGGAACCTTCCTGCACTGTTCGTGGGAATGTAAATTGGTACAATTATTATGGAGAACAGTACGGAAGTTGCTTAAAAAAACTAAAAATAGAACTACCATATGACCCAGCAATCCCACTCCTGGGCATATATCCAGGGAAAACCATAATTCGAAAAGATACATGCACCCAACGTTCATTGCAGCACTATTTACAAGAGCCAAGACATGGAAGCAACCTAAATGTCCATTGACAGAATGGATAAAGAAGATGTGGTACATAAATACAACAGAATTTTTTTTTTTTTTTGCGGTACACGGGCCTCTCACTGTTGTGGCCTCTCCCGTTGCGGAGCACAGGATCCGGACGCGCAGGCTCAGCGGCCATGGCTCACGGGCCTAGCCGCTCACGGCATGTGGGATCCTCCCAGACTGGGGCACGAACCCGTGTCCCCCGCATCAGCAGGTGGACTCTCAACCACTGCGCCACCAGGGAAGTCCAATACAATGGAATATTACTCAGCCATGAAAAGGAATGAAATAATGCCATTTGCAGCAACATGGATGGACCTAGGGATTATCATACTAAGTGAAGTAAGTCAGATAGAGAAAGACAAATATCACATGATATCACTTATATGTGGAATCTAAACAAATGATACAAACGAACTTATTTACAAAACAGAAACAGACTCACAGACTTCAAAAACAAACTTATGTTACCAAAGGTGGGGGGAGGGATAAATTAGGAATTGGGATTAACATATACACACTACTATATATAAAATAGTTAACCAACAAGGACCTACTGTATAGCACAGGGAACTCTACTCAATAATCTGTAATAACCTATATGGGAAAAGAATCTGAAAAAGAATGGATATATGTATATGAATAACTGAATCACTTTGCTGTACACCTGAAACTAACACAACATTGTAAATCAACTGTACTCCAATATAGAATGAAAATTAAATTTAAAAAGAAAAAGAAGCTACCAGTCCCTCATCAGCCAGACACAGCGTAGGGACGGGGAAGGACAGTGTTGAATGGAGTCATCCCCTCTGGCTAAATTGTATCCCCCACCAAAATATACAGGCAGACTTCGGAGATACTTTGGGTTTGGCTCTAGACCACCGCAATAAAGTGAATATTACAATAAAGCAAGTCACACCCATTTTTGGTTTGCCATTGCATATGAAAGTTACGTTTACACTATACTATAGTCAATTAACAATCTACTGACCGGAGACGTATTAATACATCTTTTGCTACCCGAACCTTATTGACCGGAGACATATCAATACGTTTTTAGAGAGTGATACAATTAACATCACCATGCGAAGCTGTTAGAGCTTAAAATTGATCAAGGGTCCATTATACAACTTATGATTCTCACTATCATTCACATTTTGCTCCTTTAGGTTTTTGTTCCAACCTTGTGTATATTATAAATGCAAGTTTGCTACCGTAAAATTTTCAAAAATGACGCGTCGCAAAGTTTGGAGTGAAGAAAAATTTCCTGGTGAATTTTATGCAGATACCAATACTTTCTCTGATTGTCCGAGCAACATATATACTAGCATCTCAGAAGGTGACAGTTCTTCAGAATACAGTTCTGATTCAGACAAGGTGAATGTTAGACCAAAGACAAAAAACCTTAGTGATTGATTCTGAAACGGAAAGTGAAAATGAAACTCACGGTGCTGGAGAATGCTCCTTTGCTTCTACAGAAGACTGGATTGAAAATTAGAAGACTTCACATTTCACGAAAATTAGAAGACTTTACAGGTGTGTCAGGTGTAACTACTGAATGTAATAACCTGCAAAGTGTTAGTGAAACAACAGAATTAATTTTGGGAACGGCTTTTTCAAGTTGGTCGCTTCTCAAACAAACTTGTATCACCAACACAATGAAAAATCATATAAAAAGTATGATAAGGCTTTAAAATGGACTGATGTAACCAATAGTGACACGGAGAAGTTTCTTGGATTAGTAATTTTGATGGGACAAGTAAGAAAGTCACACTGGAAAGAATATTGGCCGACTGATCCCTTACTTGAAACACCTACCTTTCCAAAGATTATGACGAGAAGAAGGTTCAAACAAATAATGACATTTCTTCACTTTAACGATAACTCAGAAGCTCCACTTCCTGCAGACAGAATTTCAAAAGTTAAATCTCTTTTGTATTATTTTCTACCAAAATTTCAATCGATCTATATACCCAAACAAGGCTATCACTTGAGGAGGCAATGATAGAGTGGAGGGGACGACTCAGGTTCAAAACCTATAATCCCGGAAAACTTACAAAATATGGAATTTTGGTCAGGGTGCTTAGCAAAAGTGAAACTGGATATATATGCAACCTTGAGATTTACACGGGTGAAGGAAAGAAACTGCAAGAAACAATATTATCGGTCCTACAACCTTATCTTGGTTCATGGCACCATATTTACCAAGACAATTATTACAACAGTGTGTCCACATCTGAAATATTGTTGAAAAATAAAACCAGAGTTTGTGGGACTATAAGAGAGAGTCGTGGTCTACCAAACCAATTAAAGGAGAAAGCTAAAAATCTACAGAGGGGAGAAATGACATTCTTACAGAAGGGAGAAGTGATTCGTCTTATATGGAAAGACAAGAGGTTAGTCTGCATGGCGACATTATTCATGACGCCTCCACAGCATCTACAGGAAAGGAAGACAGGAGGACTGGCCATCAGATAACTAAGCCCACATGTATATTAGAGTATAATAAATATGTGAAAGGAGTTGATCGATTTGATCAATATCTGGCAAACTTCAATATCCTCTGGAAAACTCGAAAATGGTATAAGAAAGTGGGTTTCTATTTGATTAATTGTGGTGTATTCAATGCGTTTAAAATTTATTGTAGCCTGGGCTTCCCTGGTGGCGCAGTGGTTGAGAGTCCGCCTGCCGATGCAGGGGACACAGGTTCGCGCCCTGGTCCGGGAAGATCCCACGTGCCGCGGAGCGGCTGGGCCCGTGAGCCATGGCCGCTGAACCTGCGCGTCCGGAGCCTGCGCTCTGCAACGGGAGAGGCCACAACAGTGAGAGGCCCGTATACCGCAAAAAAAAAAAAAAAAAAAAAAAATTTATTGTAGCCTTAGTGCACAGAATAAAAAGTCCTACAAGCAATTTTTGTTAGCAGTAGCTAGAGAATGGGTAACTGACAATCCTGGTGAACGTAGTGGTAGTCCCGCGCCTGGTCCTTCTTGTGGCATTTCTGAAAGAGCCCCCTGCAAAGACCCACCCTGTCGATCATCAGGTAAAATAAATGAACATCTTCTAGAGGAAATAATACCCACAGGACTAAAAAAAAAAAAAAGCCGCCAGAAAGTTTAGAGTCTGCTCTTCCAGGGGAAAGCACAGTGAAACACGGTATATTTGTAATAGATGTTCTGTTCCCCTGCACAGAGGTGCCTGCTATACCGCCTATCACACTCTAACAAAATATTAGAATGCTTTAGTAAGACATGTTCAAAGTTTCAAATAAATACATTAAGTGCAAAAAAGTTGTTGATATTTACTCAAACGTGGGTGTTTCAATATTCACTTACAGAACAAATCGCCGGCCACAGGCGTTAGTTTCTGCAAAAATCCCCCGGGCAATAATGTGTTAAGTGATGCAATAGCACTATGTCTTTAAAAATGTACATATCTTAATGTAAAAATACGTCATTGCTCAAAAAGCGCAAGCCATCATCTGAATCTCCTGTGAGTCGTAACCTTTTTGCTGGTGGAGGGTCTTGTCTCTATGCTGACGGCTGCTGACTGATCAGGGTGGTAGTAGCTGAAGGTTGGGGTGTCCGTGGCAATTTCTTAAAATGAGACAATGAAGTCTGCCACGTCAATCGACTCTTCCTTTCACAAACGATTTCTCTGTAGCATATAATGCTGTTTGATAGCATTTTACCCACAGTAGAACTTCTTTCAAAAACTGGAGTCAATCCTCTCAAACCCTGCCGCTGCTTTGTCAACTAAGTTTCTGTAATATTCTAAATCCTTTGTTGTCATTTCAATAATCTTCACAGCATCTCTGCCAGGAGTAGTTTCCATGTCTAGAAACCACTTTCTTTGCTCATCCATAAGAAGTAACTCCTCATTTGTTAAAGTTTTATCATGAGATTGCAGCAACTCAGACACATCTTCAGGCTCCACTTCTAATTCTACTTCTCTTGCTATTTCCACCACATCTGCAGTTCCTTCCTCCACTGAAGTCTTGAACGCCCCAGTGTCATCCAAGAGGGTTGGAATCAACTTCTCCCAAATCCCTGTTAATGGGATATTTTGACCTCTTCCCACAAATCACGGAAGGTCTTAATGGCATCAAGAATGGTGAATCCTTTCCAGAAGGTCTTCAACTGGCTTTGCCCAGATCCATCAGAGGAATCAGTATCTGTGGCAGCTATAGCCTTATGAAATGTATTTCCCAAATAATAAGACTTGAAAGTCGAAATGACTCCTCGATCCATGGGCCGCAGAATGGATGTTACGTTAGCAGGCATGAAAACAACATGAATCTCACCGCATATCTCCATCAGAGCATTTGGGTGCACTGTCAATGAGCCGTAATATTTTGAAACGAATCTTTTTTTTCTGAGCAGTAGGTCTCAACAGTGGGCTCCATATATTCAGTAAACCATGTTGTAAACAGATGTGCTATTATCCAGGCTTTGTTGTTCTATTTATAGAGCAGAGGCTGAGTAGATTTAGCATAATTCTTCAGGCTCCTGGGATTTTCGGAATGGTAAATGAGCACTGGCTTCAACTTTAAGGTCCCAGCTGCCTCATTAGCCCCTAACAAGAGAGTCACCCTGTCCTCTGAAGCCAGGCACTGACTTCTCCTCTCTAGCTATGAGAGTCCTACATGGCAGCTTCTTCCAATAGAAGGCTGTTTCGCCTACATTGAAGATCTGTTGTTTGGTGTAAACACTTTCATTAATGATCTTAGCTAGATCTTCTGGGTAACTTGCTGTAGCTTCTATATCAGCCCTTGCTGCTGCGCCTTGCACTTTGATGTTCTGGAGACAGCTTCTCTCCTTCAGTCTCATGAACCAACCTCTGCTAGCTTCACACTTTTCTTCTGCAGCTTTCTCACCCCTCTCAGCCTTCATAGAATTGAAGAGAGTTAGGGCCTTGCTCTGGATTAGGCTTTGTCTTAAGGCAATGCTGTGGTTGGTTTGATCTTCTATCCAGACCACTAGAACTTTCTCCATATCAGCAATAAGGTTGTTTGCTTTGTTATCATTTGTGTGTTCCCTGGAGTAGCACTTTTGATTTCCTTCAAGAACTTTTCCTTTGTATTCACAACTTGGCTAACTGTTTCATGCAAGAGGCCTAGCTTCCGGCCTATCTTGGCTTTCGACGTGCCTTCCTAAGTTCATCATTTCTAGCTTTTGATTTAAAGTCAGAGACATACGACCCTTCCTTTCACTTGAACATTTAGAAGCCACTGTAGGGTTATTCATTGGCCTAATTTTGATATCGTTGTGTCTTGGGAATAGGGAGGCCCAAGGAGAAGGGGAGAGATGGGGGAATGGCCAGGCAGTGGAGCAATCAGAACGCACACACAACATTTATCGATTAAGTTCGCCATCTTACATGGGTGCGGTTCGTGGCACCCCGAAACAATGACAATAGTAACACCCAAGATCACTGATCACAGATCACCATAACGAATACAATAACAGTAAAAAAGTTTGAAGTATTGCAAGAATTACCAAAATGCGACTCAGAGAAACGAAGTGAGCAAACGCTATTGGAAAAATGGCACTGTTCAACCGAGGGTTGCTACAAACCTTCAATTTGTAAAAAACACAGTATCTGTGAGGTACAATAAAGCGAAGTGCAATAAACGAGATATGCTTGTATGTTGAAGTTCTAACCCCCGAGTACTTCAGAATGTGACCTTATTAGGATATAAGGTTTGCAGAGGTAATCACGTTAAAATGAGGTCATTAGAGTGGGCCCTAGTCCAGTATGACTGGTGTCCTTATAAAAAGGGGAAATTTGGAGACAGACAGACACACACCAAGGAACGCCAAAGATTGCCAGTAAACCACTAGAATCTAGGCGAGAGGCCTGCAACAGATTCTCCCTCACACCCTCAGAAGGAAGCAACCCTGCCCACACCTTGATCTTGGACTTCTAGCCCCCAGAACGATGGGACAAGACACTTCTGTTGTTGACACCGCCCAGTTTGCAGTACTTTGTTATGGGGGCCCTGGGGAACTAGTACACCCTCTTTCAAAGCTGTCACTACCTTGTCATCTTCCGCTCTGGCAGGAATTAGCCTCCCAATTCAGAAATCTAAGGAACATGGGCTAGAAGGCAGTTTTTAAAGTCCCCATCCCACCTCTGACTTTTTCCCCAGATGGGTTGAAATGTCCTGTTGCTGATGAGAGGACATCTAGAAATGAATAGTTCTAGCCAAAGGCTTCCAGAATCACATAACTCATCCTGTCTTTGATGGCTGAATGAATGAATCGATGAATGAAGTCATAAATCGCTAATGCCCTTAGCCTTGCTCTAAACAGAAGCTTCTCTGCTTATGAAATTTTGGCCCACAAACTTTGATGGAAAGCTAAGTGCCAGAAAATAAAAAGGTATACTACCTTTGCTGCCACAAACAGGTGGAGTGAGTGGTGGTCCCTTTGGATAAAAGAACAAATGGATTCAAGGACAGTTAGTGGAATCCAACCTGCTCGCCAACAGAGACACATCTGTGTTTCCCTTACTCTTCCTCCTCCCTGCCTTATTGTAAACTTTTTTGAAGTATCACGTCATCAGTGTACAGCTCAATGAATTTTTACAAAGTAAGCTCATGTGTTCTTCAGCACCAAGGTCAAGAAACAGACCATTACCAGCACCCCCACATGGCCCCTTCATGTCTCCCAGTCAGTAGGTAACCACTCTTCTCATTTCTGCCCCCACAGATTACTTTAGCCTGGTTTTAAACTTTATGTAGATAAAATTATGCAGAATTCGGTCTTTATTGCCTGTCTTCTTTCACTCCACATTCTGTACGTGAGAGTGTCTATATATTATACAAAGAAGTACCTTGTCCTTTTTCCTTGCCGCATAATATCCCACAACATAAACGCACCACACTTTATTTATCCTTTGT